TTTTTTGAAGAAGAAAAGAAATAGAACAGGAAAAAGACACCTTTCAGTTTGAGGATTTTAAATTCTAGCCCAATTTCAAAATGATTCAGTTATTAGAGACGTTTTTGCAGCATAGGCTATATACTTAAGGACCTGCTATAATAGAAAGAAATATTTTTAGATATAAAAAGATTATATGGAAACTAAGTTTACCTTATTATTTTTGATATTGGTAAGTATACAACAGTTAGTTAATTCAGTAATAGGTGAGAAAAGTTTAAAGCATCCAGTTCTGTTTATGAGTGATGTTTGGCCACTCTTAAACATGACATTTGTGAAAAACTATGTAAAACTATATAACACTACAAGCCATTATATGAACATTTAAAAATCTATATTTATAATATTTTAATACTTTTTGTGGGTACATATATTTATGGGGTACATGAAATATTTTGATACAGGCATGCAATGCATAATAATCACATCAGGGTAAACAGAGTATCCATCACCTTAAGCATTTATCCTCTGTGTTACAAACAATCCAGTTATAGCCTTTTAGTTTTTTTTAATGTACAGTTAAATTATTATTGACTATATGTTGTGCTATCAAATACTAGGTCTTATTCATTCTTTTTAACTTTTTGTACACATTAACCATCCCCACTTCCTCCCTATCTGCCAGCTACCCTTCCCAGTCTCTAGTAACCGTGCTTCTACTCTCTATGTCCATGAGTTCAATTGTTTTAATTTTTAGCTCCCCCAAATAAGTGAGAACATGAGAAGTTTGTCTTTCTGTGCCTGGCTTATATCACTTAACATAATGACCTCCAGTTCCTTGTTGTTGTAAATTAACAGGATCTCATTCTTTTTATGGCTGAATAGTACTCCATTGTGTATATGTGCCACATTTTCTTTATCCATTGTCTGTTTTTTTGTTTTGTTTCGTTTTAAGATGGAGTCTTGGCTAGGCACAGTGGCCCATGCCTGTAATCCCAGCACTTTGGGAGGGTGAGGCGGCTGGATCACGAGGTCAGGAGTTCAAGACCAGCCTGGCCAACATGGTAAAACCCCGTCTATACCAAAAATACAAAAAAATAGCTGGGCATGGTGGCATGCACCTGTAATCCCAGCTACATGGGCAGCTTAGGCAGGAGAATTGCTTGAACCAGGACCCAGGAGGCAAAGGTTGCAAAAAAAAAAAAAAAAAAAAAAAAAAAAAGAGTCTCACTAACATTACCCAGGTTGGAGTTCAGTGGTGCAGTCTCAGCTCACTGCAGCCTCCACCTCCCAGGTTCAAGTGATTCTTGTGCCTCAGCCTCCCGAGTAGCTGGGATTACAGGTGTGCACCACCACACCAAGCTAATATATATATATATTTTTTGAGATGGAGTCTCACCTTGTCACCAGGCTGGAGTGCAGTGGCTTGATCTTGGCTCACTGCAACCTCCAACTCCCTGGTGCAAATAATTCTCCTGCCTCAGCAGCCTGAGTAGCTGGGATTATAGGCATGCACCACCATGCCCTGCTAATTTTTGTATTTTTAGCAGAGACGAGGTTTTACTATGTTGGCCAGGCTGATCTCAAACTCCTGACCTCAGGCTGTCTGCCAACCTCAGCATCTCAAAGTGCTGGGATCACAGGTGTGAGCCACTGCACTTGACCATTGTCTGCTGGTGGACACTTAGGTTGCTTCCAAATCTTGGCTACTATGAATAGTGCTGCAATAAATGGGAGAGTACAGATATCTCTTTGATATACTGATTTTTTTTCTTTTGGGTATATACCTTGCAGTGGGACTGCTGGATCAGATAGTAACTTTATTTCACAGGGTTGTAAATTTTATAGGCTTGTAAATTTTATTTACAGGCGTGACGGGGTGTAGTTTTACTCTTCTGCATATGGATATCCAGTTTTTCCAGCACCATTTATTGAAGAGTTTGTTCTTTCCCCAGTGTATGTTTTTGGCACCTTTGTCGAAAATCAGTTCACTGTAGATGTATGGGTTTGTTTCTGGGTTCTCTGTTCTGTTCCATTGGTCTATGTGTCTTTTTTGTTGTTGTTAGTTTGGGTTTTTTTGTTGTTTTTTTTCTTGAGACAAGGCCTCACTCTGTTGCACAGACTGTAGTGCAGTGGTACAATCTCAGTTCACCACTACCTCCATCTCCTGGTTTTGAGCAATTCCGGCCTCCCAAGTCTGTGCCTCCTGAGTCTTTGGGACTACAGGTGCACACCACCATGCCCAGCTGATTTTTTTGTATTTTTAGTAGAGACAGGGTTTTTCCATGTTGGCCAGGTTGGTCTCAAACGCCTGGCCTCAAGTTATCTGCCTGTGTTGGCCTCAAGTTATCTGCCTGTGTCAGCCTCCCAAAGTGCTGGGATTACAGGTGTGAGCCACCACGCCCAGCTTATGTGTCTGTTTTTATGCCAGTACAATGCTGTTTTACTTACTATAGCTCATCAAATTATAGTATAATTTGACATCAGATAATGTGATTCCTCTAGTTTTGTTCTTTTTGCTCAGAATAGGCTTGGCTATTGTGTGTCCTTTGTGGTTCCATATAAATTTTAGGATTGTTTTTTAATATCTGTGAAGAACGTCATAGGCATTTTGATTGGAATTGAATTGAATCTATAGATTGCTTTGGGTAGTATAGGCATTTTAACAATATTGATTCTTCCAATCCATGAACATGGAATATCTTTTCAATTTTCTGTGTCCTCTTCAGTTTCTTGCTTCAATGTTTATGAACATTTTTTGTTACATTTTCAAAGAAGGTATTATTAATTCTTTGTTTACCTAACATCACAGGAGAATGAAGGATTTCTAGTAAGTGAATTTCCTGTATAATTTAAATTATAAACAATTTAACAATTTTAAATGATTGTTAAAAAACAATCATTTAATAGTAATTGTTCAGTAATGTCTTACAGTTTTATGTGTTCATAAACAAGGAGATTAAAACTTTTAGATAATATAAAATTTTATACTATAATATATAATTGGAAATGTTCTATGAGAGTTGTTGGTCCTGATACAGAAATATTTTGAACAACTAGGTTTACTTGTTTGTTTTATTTTTATGGATTTGAATGCTTTTATGCATTTTATCTCTGCTTTGATAAAAAGCTGCTAATTGTCATATTTTATCTATTTTCCACTGGCCTGTCTCTATTCTTCTACTCTTCCTCTATTACTATATTCACTCTCATTTGAGAACTATTTTAAACATATGTTATAAATTATAATATATATATAATGCTTTTAAAATATATTGATGTGGGAATGAAAAGAAAGTAAGGATAGAAGTAACAAAAACTATGTGGAGTGAACTACACAGAAATACTTAAAATAAGTGCAGCAGGTAAAAGTGAATCACAAATCCATCCGTAGGTTTCCTTGATGTCAAAGAGAAGAAAAGAGATCTAGTGTCTAGTTTTTTTTTGTTGTTGTTGTTTTTGTTTTTTTTGTTTTTTGAGACAGAGTCTTGCTCTGTTGCCAGGCACCAGACTGGAGTGCAGTGGCACGATCTCGGCTCACTGCAACCTCCGCCTTCCAGGTTCGAGTAATTCTCCTGCCTCAGCCTCCCAGGTAGCTGGGACTACAGGTGCACGCCACCACGCCCAGCTAATTTTTTGTATTTTTAGTGAAGATGGGGTTTCACCATGTTGGCTAGGATGGTCTTGATCTGTTGACCTTGTGATCTGCCCACCTCAGCCTCCCAAAGTGCTGGGATTACAGGCTTGAGCCACCACGCCCAGCCTAGAAGTAGTTTTTTTTCTGATACTGAGATCAGAAAAACTTTGCAATTGCGACATACCATATGCTGTTTTAAACCACATTCTACCCTAAATACCAATGCTTGTTTTGTAAGCACTGCCTTTTTCAAACTAACCCTGTAACACTAAAGTTTCATGTAGTAGGCATGCATGAGTGAGCAGTGAGATAAGGTAAAAATGACAATATCTAGAATAGTCTACTGGTCCAAGACACTTTAGGATGGAGATACATATATGCATATACAGTGTATCTGCATATCTGTATTCCATGTTCAGACTCTATGGTCTGGCAAAAATGTGAACAGTAGATACCTTGTGGCCAATTCAGAGTCAACTTGTGTATATTTTAATGGAGAGGAGGGAGAATCACCCTTCTGAAACATCAGTTTGTAATTCCTTCTGCTAGAGAAAAGACATATGATAGTCAGGTTTCGTAAACTTGTGTCTAACACTCTAGAGTTAAATAGGCTTTAAGAGTAAGACTAAAAGTGTTCTTATAAAGTATATAAGTTTTAGGGTGTTTTGTTATTTTTAAAGTTAATGTTTGAATAGCTAATATATTCACACAGATCAAATATCTAAACATATAATATAGAATAAATGAAAAGTCTCTACCCCATTCCTTATTTGCTCAGTTTCTTAAGGTAGTGATGGCTACCTTAACCATTACTTTAAGTGTTTTGTTTTCTTTTTAGTTCATTTAACAGTGAACTAAAACTTGATAAATTCAGAGCTAGGAAGCTTAAGGAATACTTGATTTGAAGAGATCTAGGACATTTCAGAATGCTGAGAGCATTTTCCCTTCTCCTACAATCCACCACACATACAGCACACATATCTGAGCCAGTTAGAAGGAAAAGGTCCTGCCTTTTCTCTAACTGGAAGGACATTACACATATTCTAGTATCACCCCGCATATTCTAGTATACCTTTACAGGGTATAATGACTGAATTGATAGTTTTCTTACCATATCTTATTTTGTTGCAGTATTGAAGTCTGTCATTTTTGTTATGCATTTTATTGAAGTTAGACTAGACTTATCTCAGAAATAGTATGTGTTTTTTAATATTAATTAAGGCTACATATAAATGCTTCATTCTTTATAGTAAGTTTTTGTCTGCATTTAGATGATACAGTTAACTGGTATTCCAGTAGTGAAGAGGAAGAAGGAAGCAGTGTCAAGTCAATACTGAAAACATTACAGAAACAAACAGAAACTTTAAGGAATCAGCAACAACCTTCCACAGAACTCAGTCCTCCTACTGATCCAAGACTTGCTAAAGAGAAAAGTAAAGGAAACCAAGTGGTTGACCCTAGACTTAGGACTATCCCAAGGCAAGACATCAGAAAGCCTTCTGAGTCTGCCCCACTGGATCTTAGACTTGCGTGGGATCCCAGGAAATTAAGAGGGAATGGAAGTGGTCACGTAGGCTCTTCTGTTGGTGGAGCAAAGTTTGATGTGCATCATGCAAATGCTGGCACTAATGTTAAACACAAAAAAGGTGATGATGATGATGAAGATACAGAGAGAGAACTGAGAGAAAAAGCTTTCTTAATACCTTTGGATGCCTCACCTGGCATAATGCTCCAGGATCCAAGGTCACAATTGAGACAGTTCAGTCACATTAAGATGGACATTATTCTAACCAAACCCAATTTTGCAAAACACATTGTGTGGGCTCCGGAAGACTTACTTCCAGTACCTTTACCTAAACCTGATCCAGTGTCTTCAATCAATTTACCTCTGCCCCCACTTATAGCTGACCAGAGGCTAAATAGGTTATGGAATACAAAAAGTGATCTTCATCAAAATACAGTGTCCACTGATCCAAAATTAGCAGCCAAAGCCAAAATTAATACAACAAACAGAGAAGGCTACCTAGAACAATTTGGAGACTCACACAGTTCAGGAAGTAAATTAGGAGATCCTAGGCTACAAAAAAATTTTGATCCTAGGCTTCACAGACTGCCCAATACAGAGTCTCATCAAGTAGTTATGAAGGATTCACATACATCAAAGGGTACCCCTCACTTAGCCAGATCAAACCCTGGTTCATCACAGCCCTCAGGGGCAGGAACTAGCAATTCTGGTTCCGGGGCTCTGCCTCCATATGCCCCTAAACTCTCTTCCTCAGCTGGCCTTCCACTGGGAACTCCAACTTCAGTTCTTAGTGGTATTAGTTTGTATGACCCTAGGGATCATGGTTCATCGTCCACAGCAGAGCCTGCAACAGTTTCTTTAGGAGAAAACTCAAAGAACCAGAAAAAAAGTGGTGGCTTAAAAAGTAGTGACAAAAATGAGTCTTCTCCTGGAGAAGCTATCCTGCCACAGAAAACAGCTCCAAATGTGGAAGTCCCTCTTGATGGGCCAGCTGACCCACAGGCAGATGTTCCCAGGAGTTCTGGTAAGGTTCAGGTCCCAGCAGTGCACAGCCTTCCTATTCAGGCATTAACAGGCTTAATTAGGCCCCAGTACAGTGATGCAAGGCAGGCAAGGCAGCCAGGACAGGGGAGCCCCACCCCAGATAATGATTCCGGTAGAGAAACAGATGACAAATCTCTGAAAGAGGTTTTTAAAACTTTTGATCCAACCGCTTCACCATTTTGTTAGTTATTGTGTAATTAAGCAGTTCCTTTCACTCTTGTGACTATCTCAGTCCTCTGCTGTTTTGTAACTGGTTTACCTCTATAGTTTATTTATTTTTAAATTATAAACACTTTTCAGCTGCTAGTATCAGAACCACATGAAGTTATAGCCTCTAAAGCCTGTGGTATTTTATATGATATTTTTATAACTTTAAGAGACTGTAGTAATTGACCTAAAAACTTATGTTAGTTTCAGTAAAAGTACTTTTATTGTAAATAAACCATCATGAACTCACACTCTGCTTGAATATATGCCAGTTGTCTTTCATAATCAATGTTTAGATAAATGATTGCCACTTTTTATATGGTTGTTTAGTTTCAAGCAATATGATGTACATTACTTTTGAGAAACAGTATTTTGACTAGGATCTCTCTATTTGTCAGCACAGAACTGATTAATATGTAATACTAACTGCTAATTAAAATGTAAAATCCAGTAAAGAAAACATTTTAAAATCACAATTAGCAGAGCAGTTCATGTTTAAGGGTATCACTTTTATTAGTATTGGCAATATTATTTGTGTAAATGAAGCATTTGAATGTCATATCTTTTTAAAGTATTTTATTGTATACTGTATTATAGAAGTTGGAGGTATATAAACAGAACATTTTGCTAAAGTGAAAAATTTCCAAGTTCTCTAGCATAACTTTTTAAATTTAATTTTTCATATGAAGTAGCAATTAGTTACTGCTGTGTTACATTGTGATGTTTATGTATGTCAGTGTTTTTGTCTTTAGCAGCATAGTTTATATTGCTTTTTCAATAGCTGCAATAATTGTGTTCATCATGACTTTGGCAATTTTTAACAAAATTTTTAAAGATCCAGTGAGAGTCTGTAGTGATTATTACATGGATAATGTTTTAAATGTCTAGGTTCTGTATTTTTTCTTAAATAGCAAGAAAACACAGAGATTGCAAGTATAGTCAACAGCATTTGGCTATCAATAAAGAATCTCTTTCAGATCTCACTTGGCTGGCATTCTGTAACAGAGGGGATTGATTACCTGGTGTTTTAAGTATTTAATGTCTTCATAGTGTGGAAATCTCCTAAACTGATTAGAAACTGTATTTTATGAAAAATAACGTGTATTCATTCTTGTGTATTTATTGCAATATATAAATAATGGCAACTCTTTGTTTTATACATACATAATTTATAACTGAAACTAAGTATTACACTGCTACTCATATTCTGAACTGGAAGTGTAGAACAGTGCTGGTAACAACTCCAATACATATTAATAACTTGAAAAGGACCATTTCACTATAAAAGACAGTGAAAGTAAGTGATGAAATCAGTCCTTGAATGAAAACAGCTGCCCTTGAGAAGTGATTTTTTTTTTTTTAATATACAGTAAAATATTTCATGGGAACCTAACACTCAGATAGCATATGGTTTATTAATAATGCATATCCTTTCTAATCACTTCTTCAATTCTTTCTGCTTCAGTTCTGTGCTAAAATGGGGTTGTGGTTAAGTGAACAAGAACTCTGCCTACTTAAGTTCGTTGTGTTCCAAGTGGAAGGAGAGTTACTGAAGGGAATGTGAATTTTTACTGTTTGTACTTCAGATACATTTGCTGTCTGAAATGACTCTGGATAACATTTTTGGCTTCAAAATGTAATTTAAAGCCACCATACAAAGTATTTTCTAATTTACTCTCCAAATGAATTTTGTTGTTAATTGAGAAGTCAATAAAATGGATTAAACTGACAGAAAATATATGTATATATGTGTGTGTGTGTGTGTGTGTGTGTGTGTGTGTGTGTGTGTGTGTGTGTGTGTGTATATATATCCCAAAGTGTAATTTACTCTTTTGTCAGGATAAAATCAGAAAAATGGCTGATTTTAGTAAATGAAATTTTTAGCAAATCTTTAATTTATTCATGTAGTTTATAGTTATTGTGTCAAGTAATGATATTTACATTTTAAGCATCATACATTTTAAGCATAAGAGGATTTGGCTTGTTAAAGATCAAAATAGAATCCAAACTCTTAACAGAGTATCTTTTTTACAACTAAAAAAGATATTCCAAAATTTATTAAAAAGATTTAAAAGTTACTAATGCAAATTATGTAATGTTCCTTTATTCAGTATTCTGAGTCCCTCTTATCTCAACTATTGTCCTAGAGGCTATTTTACAAAAAAGTTTGAACTTAGTTTCAAATTTGACAATATATTTTATATGAAAGTGTTTATGTTTAAAATAATGATTTTTATTTATTTTATAGCATTTTTATTGTGATAGCATTAGTTTATGGGATATTCTGTCATACCCAGTAAACATAGTTTATTTTAATATTCTTTTTTCCCATTTTCTCATACAAATTGAATAAGCAGCCATTTTCCCCTAATAAATAGCTCTTCTTTAAGGTGAATCGTGTTTTTAGAATCCATGTAATTTGAATTTCACTGTTAGATGGACAAGAAAGTTATGTTCCTATTGTTAGAAGCCACACATTTAGAAATAACAGAAATAACTTGAGTCTTAAGAGTCTGGATAGGCACATCCATTGAGATGTAACTTAACTATTCATACTGTTTGTGATGAAAATTCTATACCTGTTTACTTTGATGATTAATAGAGTGGATCTATCAGAGGGTTGAAATGGAACACACAGAAGATCATGAGAATTTAGATTCAGCAACTACTTTCCCATATCTTTGTTAAGCTTTCATTGTGAACCTTAAAAACAAATCAAATGTTGGTGTGATTTCAAACTCTATTTCAAAAATTGGGTCTGTTTCTATCTGCAACCTCTGTATTTCCCAGCTGAATGTTTCAAACTCCCAAATTAGGCTGCAACTGAAAGAGCCTAATTGTCAAATGATGTGTGCTTAGGTTTCTGTTAATCCTTTAGCCATGGAACTTTGAATAGTAGTGTTCCTCCTACTTATTTTAAGAGTGGAAGAACAGTTGGGTAGTAAAGAAATCCTGTGTGAACTTTTAGCGAAGCCACTCTGCGGAATTAATTAGAGAGAAGTAGGAAGTTTAAAGAGAATAAATTCATATTTTTGTTCTGAATTGATTTCTGTGCCATTTATATCAATATCTAGTTGCTTATCTATGAAATGGGGTTAATTTTGATTGCTCACATATTTGATGTAAAGAATGAATTATTTTTGTAAGGTATTTGTAAATATAAAATTGCTTATAACTTGAATGAACATAATCATTATGCTCCCATTAGGATGCATTAAGTTGTACAAATTCCAAAATAACATGATATAGTTTGTATGGTTTGCAATTTTACAAAGCTTCAGATGACATGCACAGAATACACAACAGTAGAATTTCCTGAAAAGCTGTTCAAGTGAATATTAACCCATCAAGTTAACAGTTTCCTTAAATGTATATCAGGAAGACATAGGACTTCCCTACCTTAGAGCTATATAGACTTGTGTCTCTCCAAGATCTGACTTCTCTCCCCATTTTATACAGGTTGCATATTGATGGAGGGTTAAAAATGCTATGGCAGTTCATAGTGCATGATGTGTTTGTTTAAATCATAGCATATTTGGGCAGAGTGGCCAGCTCATTCAATATGAGAGCCACCAGCTCTTAGAAACAACAGATCTGTTCACACCCAGTCTGTAATATGTATTTCTTCAGACATGTCACATTGAGGTCTTCCTGAGTGACCACTTAGTCAATAAAGGTATTATGTTTCTTTAGTTAATGACCACTAGAAGTTAGGAAGCTTCTAGGGACCAGGATATGAGATCTTAGGCTGTGACAATCTTTCCATTTGCATGACATAGAATCTGTAGTGGAGATGTTTTCCCTGATGTTTTTGGAGGGCTGGACTGTGCTGAAGGCTGTACCTTGGCGGGGTGGTCTGCAGTCATTCGGTCCACTGATAGGGTCCCCCTCCCCACAAGCTTCAGTAATTGAGCTTTCTGTTAATTTCACAAATTATCTTTTCAAAAATGGTCTGGCACTACTTGATGATATTATGTTCAAAATTAAGTCCAGTAGAATATATAAGCATTTGTAAACTAGTTTAAATAAGACTTAGTTTAGGAAATCTATCCTTTGACATATATAACCAAACAGCTTGAGGGTTCAAAGCTATTTTCTTCTTAGGTGTTACTCTTTAGCATTTACATAATACCTTTTCCCTAAGCAGTTTAATGTGGTTTGCAGAAACAGTTTTGGCAGCTACCAATCACTATATTGCTGGAGTTTTGTGTTTGAGTATGTCATTTATCAGCAGTATCTGCCAGTTGTGACAAAGCCCATATTAACCTGCCTTTCCCAAGAAAGGACTTTTGGTTAACATCTACATAGTACTTAGAATTTCTAATTTTGAAATAAGAAACAAAAACATGTTTAAAATACTATTTTATGCTTTTGGAGGCAGGACCTGTGTGTATCCCCTTATTTTTATACTTCTCCATAGAAACAGGCCTAGTTGTAGGCACACAGGCACACAGTGGGTGCTTTGTTAACTGCTTGTTGATGGCTTCCTGACATCCATCCAAGTGTCAGTTTTACAGGTGCTGTCACCCATTACAACAGATGTGGCAGAAGCATTCCATGACCACATTAGAAAGAATGCAGCTTACGAGTTATATCTCTTGTGATAGACCCAGAGAGCCCACCTTCTCTTTTTTGTCCTCACCTTCACCCCAAACAATGTGAAGACAGGTTATGGCAACTTAGGAGCTCGATGTTTCTGTAATAATTCATAACTTTAAGAGTCCTTCAGACTTAGAAGATTACTTCATGGTGAGTGTTTGGATTGATCAATAATTTATTCCTATAAATGTCTGCAGCATTTTTTTTCCGTAACCAGAAAAGTAACTGCATAGCCAGTCTTTTTTTTCGGTAATTCTTATTTGCTGTTTTTTTGTTTGTTTGAGACAGTTTTCACTCTTATTGCCCAGGTTGGTTGGAGTGCAGTGGTGCAATCTCAGATCACTGCAACCTCTACCTCCCGGGTTCAAGTGATTCTCCTGCCTCAGCCTCCCTAGTAGTTGGGCTTACAGGCACGTACCACCACACCCAGCTATTTTTTTTAATTTTACTAGAGGCAGGGTCTCACCATATTGGTCAGGCTGGTCTCGAACTCCTGACCTCAGGTGATGCACCCACTGTGACCTCCCACAGTGCTTGGATTACAGGCATGAGCCAACGTGCCCAGCCTGTTTTTTTGTTTGTTTGTTTTTGTTTTGTTTTGTTTTGTTTTGTTTTGTTGAGACAGTCTCACTCTGTAGCCCAGGCTAAAGTGCAATGGCTCAATCTCAGCTCCCTGCAGCCTCTGCCTCCCAGGTTCAAGCACTTCTCCCACCATAGCCTCACGAGTAGCTGGAACTACAGGCATGTGCCACCACACCCAGCTATTTTTTGTATTTTTTGGTAGAGACGGGGTTTCACCATGTTGACCAGGCTGATCTTGAACTCCTGGCCTCAAGTGATCCACCAGTCTTGGCCTCTTAAAGTGCTGGGATTATAGGCATGAGCCACCGCACCTGGCTCAGTCTTTTTTTCATTATTATTATTTTTGTTTATATATTTATTTTTTTGAGATGGAGTCTTGCTTTGTCACCCAGGCTGGAATGCAGTGGCATGATCTTGGCCCACTGCAACCTCTGCCTTTCGGGTTCAAGTGATTCGTCTGCCTCAGCCTCCTGAGTAGCTGGGATTACAGGCGTGCACCACTACACCTGGCTAATTTTTTATATTTCTGGTGGAGACAGGGTTTCACCATGTTGGCCAGGCCACTCCTGACCTCAAGTGATCCACATGCCCCGGCCTCCCAAAGTGTTGGGATTACAGGCGTCAGCCACTGCTCTTGGCCAGTCTTTTATTTTAAAATAAATAATTAGGGCTAACCAGTGAATTATCAATAGCATTTAAATTGCCTTTTTTCCAGACACCATGAACAATAATTTTCCCTTTCAAGTTAGGATTTGACTCTAATTTTGGATCTTGTATCTGATCTTTAAATGCCGTTCATTATAGAAGAACCATGCTACTGTTAGCAAAATTATTGTAGGCTTAAAGAAGAGCTGTGAGTTTAAAGAAGACTGTGCGTTCTTGGAATAGTATTTTACAGCATTGTTTATTCTTGAGCCTCTTGTTTTTTAAGCTTAGGGTTTATAAGAAAAAAAATGAATATATAGTTGATTTTATAGCATTTTAGAAAAAAACCAGCTCTGCAGATAGGCCCCATACTTTTTGGCTCATTACTGATTCTAATACCTTCATAAGAGTATTAAGATTGAAAGGAGTGGCGAAATTTGCATTATCAGAGGTCCGATATGTAATTTATTGTAAAGAAATTAAATATATAGAGGTCCAATTTTTAAAAAATTAACCATAGTGTTCTCAAACCTCCATTACCACCAACATCTTGGGGGTTATTTATACTTTTTTTTTTTTTAGATGAAGTCCCACTCTGTTGCCCAGGCTGGAGTGCAGTGGTGCCATCTCGGCTCACTGCAACCTCTGCCTCCCAGGTTCAAGTGATTCTCCTGCCTCAGCCTCCTGAGTAGCTGGGATTACAGGCGCCTACCACCATACCCAGCTAGTTTTTTATATTTTTAGTAGAGATGGGGTTTCACCATGTTGTCCAGGCTGGTCTCCGAACTCCTGACCTCAAATGATTCGCCCACCTCAACCTCTTAGAGTGCTGAGATTATAGGCATGAGCCACCACACCTGTCCTAGACTATATCTTTTATACATTTTTTAAATAGAGAAAGTCAAAAATG